CCTAATTAAGGGCTGGATACCAGTAAATCTCGGTTAGGAGCAGGGAGCCATATAGTCACCTCTCTCTCGAGTTCTCTTTCACTTCCTCCTTGGAGAGAGGAAACGAGAAGAGAGGGAATAAAGAAGGTTGTTACCCTAACAATGCAAAAAAAATCTCATGTGAAAATAAGAACATTGTTTGGCAAACATTCCTCAGAAATAAGTCTACTTTTTTGGTGTTCTCGATTTTCTTTTTCTTCCAGAAAGATCAATGAGGCTTTAAAACAAGGACTTAGAAGAACGCACAAAGACAAAACTTTGAGCAACGATAAGACATGTAAAACAATACTTACATTTCTCACCAATCGGTGGCTGGGAGGTGGGTTCCAAGGTTTCATCGAGTCCAACGCAGATTTCAGAACCTAATTCAGGAAATTGTTCGCAGTTCAAACTCTCTGGCCATTCGAAACCAAAACGTTTCATCAGACCCTCACAGCCGAGTCTTGCACTATTACAAAGGGAACGACAGGGCGGGACTGCAGAACCTAACACTGTACAAACTGGCGCGTAAACAGCACAGAGGAACAAACTTATATGCTCCGAGCAGCCGACTTTTACCAAAGGATAAAACTGGTGGACATAAAGAGCGGCCTCGTCTTGTGTTGTGTGATTCAAAAAGTTGGGAAATATTGTATTATTATAAGGCATAGAACGACAAAGAGGTATCGTTAAGGGCTCACAGCTGTCCTGTTTCGTTGCAGGAGAAATTGTGGTGGACATGTGCACTGGCGGAAGCGTCTTGACGATTTCTTCGCATCTGCAACTGCGGACAGAGAATAAATGGCTCTCTCAACTACTACTTTCAGTGAAAAGATCAAACCGATAATTCTCGCTGCTTGCTAACGGAAGTTTTGTTGGACTTGATATTTTAGAGGTTGGTATAAGAAATCGCCTATGTTTCCGTGAAAAATGTCGTCCTCTCGGTCACTCGCTAATGCCTTTAAGGCTAAGCTTAAAAGGTTATTATTGATGTTCCCTTTCCATAAAATCCTCATCGAGAAGTGACTTTCTCTTTTAACTTAACATAAAGGTGATAAGAATAGAGGACATTGTAGTCAACTCAAGACACTCTTGATTTTTAGAAAAATTCTCCATGTCACAACCATAGGATGTGTTAGGAGAACAGTTAGGAGAACTTGCATACTGATGTAAGGTGTGTATGGGGCCGGTTAACTTATTGATTGAATAAACACGATTTATTTACCCACCTACAGAAGGGCAATGGATTGAAACCTTCACGACAGGTACCTCCACGAACACAACTTTCTTTAGTGCACATCAAAGCATCTGTCAAAAAACGATAAAATAGGAACCTCCTTGGTTCAGAATCCTCAAAATTGTGACTGAGTTGATATCAGCCCAAATCTCATTCTATGTGTCTTTCCTATAAACTATGGTTACGATGGTTGCTACGTTCAAAGTACATAACATGTTGGGAAAGGGAGAAGGAATTGACCGTCGTAAAAAGGCGTTAAACCATGAAATTACTTCTACGTGATCTAGCCTGAACTAACTTGGAATAATAAACCAAAAAACCTACTTAAAGAATAAAGAAATACACTAAAATACCTTTGAACGGTAGAACGCTTTGCTCTTGAGTGTCACAAAAACAATATTGTTATTGTAAACCAATGTGAACTCACAGTAAAATAAGGAAATGTCCTGAAGCGCGGGAAAACAGGAGTAAACAAGTCGTGATTGGTCTTAGTACAATATCTAATTGCTTGAGATGCGGGAATGATTTCTTAAACCAATAAAAATGTCTGGTGCTAAAGCAAACCCAAAGCTATCCCAAATACCTATCGACACTCAATTGCAAATTGCTATTCGTTCTAAGATCATTCAAGTGTTGTACTTACAGGTCTCTAGTAACGCCATCGGTGAGCTTACGGGTGCTGTTGGATTAACTCCAATGCACTCCTTCTCTCCTATACGTGGAAATCTCTCACAGGATACAACCTCGGGCCATTTGAAGCCAAACTCTTTCAAAGATCTTTCACAGCTCACTTTAGCACTATCACAAAGAGAACGGCATGGAGGAACTGCCGTTTTAGATATAGTACAAATTGGTGCGTAAACAGTGCAAAAGAAAAACTCAATATGTGACGAGCAATATTTCTTCATCAAAGGATAAAACTGGAAGAGATCCTTCGCTGCCTCGTCTTGGGTTCTGTGACTTAACAAGTTTGGAAATATCGTAGTATTGTACGGCATATAATTTCGACAAATGGGCATCGTCAATGGCTCGCAGCTGCCTTGTAGAGTGATGTTACACTTTTCTTCATCGGACTTGTCTCCACAGTCATTACTACCATCACATACAAAGACTTTGTTGATACACACTCCAGTGCCATGACATTGGAACTGATTGCTTGTACATGTCTGAGTGTAATTGCAGTGTTTCTCGTCTGATTTGTCTATACAGTCAACTTTCCCGTCACAAACTGAACTTATTTGCACACAA